AGCTCTTATCAGCAGTCGAAATATGAAGACATATAGGAGGCATTTATAGAATTCTAGTAAAAAATGTCACATATTTGGAAAAGATAAATTTAGATAAGATTTATAAAGACTAACCACGTGCTAACGGATCAATGTGGCAATGTCAGTAGTGTAGAGAACGGCTTAATAGTCTAGCGGAACGTAACCAAGTGCACCTCATCTCGGCATCCGGTCACAAAAGTATAGCCGGGAATGAACTGGTTGATGAGATTGTCTGCTTCGCAGCGTCCACCTTCTTCTTCTTCTCAAAGAGAGGTATTGGCAACCACTCCGAGGTATGCGCCATGCCAAGTTTATAACCTCAGCAGGTTTAAATAAGTATTTAAGCTCCTACAATAGACCTAAAGTAGCGGTGCAGGTCTTCGCTATTTATCTTGACCAGATTTAGCCATATCCGTCGGTCCGTATATTCACGAATTATTTTCTCAGTTTGTGAGATTTTGTTTACAAATCGTTCAACTTTATTATGAAAATTCGAGTTTCGTAAGAACGACCTATCACAATTTAGGCTGACGTGTGGAAGACTTGGCGCATTCTACGTCGAGATCTAAAATTGAGAGCATACAGCTTGTGCTGTATCTGAACTCGCTCGACCTTCTCAAGCAAAATCGCTTCGCTTCATAGGCTCTTGAAGAGTTCCAAGAAGATACGACGTTTTCCAGCCAAAGTTTGTTCAACGAGGAAGCCCATTTATAGCTCAATGGATATGTAAATAAACAAAATTGTTGCCTTTGGAACGAAGAGAAATCTGAAGAGATTCAAGAGCTGTCATTTCACCCAGAAAAAACAACGTTTGGTGTAGTATGTGGGCCGGTAAAAAGAGCGGTCCATATTTCCGCAAAAATAATGTCAATGAGAACGTAACCGTCAATGGCGACCTTTATTGTGGCCATGATATTGATGCCTGAAATTGAAGCTCGTGATCTCGGCGTCATTTGGTTTTAACAAGGCGGCGTCGTTGATTTTTTTATATGCATTTTTTTCGAGTCTGATTTCTAGTTCATTCAATTTTTTAGTTCGGTTAGATTTAATTAAGTAAGAAAAATTCAAAAGATTCCGCAAAGGCATTTCAAAATGTTGCGTTTTTATCACAAGTAGCCCTTATTGGTCATCCAGTCTCTATTTATATATAAAATAAACTCTCTTTCTTAAAGTAGTTTTGAGCGTCAAAAATAATGAGTTGTTACTTCATCTCTTTCGAAAAAGCTCACAAGCAAGCATACAAATGTATAGCCATGAATATTTTGGTGAAAGCTTCAGTTTTCAAACCATCCACAACAGTCTCCACTCTTTGCTCTTATTCTGTATCACTGTCACATATATGTACATTTTTTTATATACTTATGTATATGGAATATTTTTTATTATGTATTTAGCTATTTGTACATACAAGTGTTTTAAGTTAATTCAGTTTCTCCCACGCATGTTTTCGTTCTTCTATTACGACAAAATGGGAATTTTCATTCACTTCTTTGTGCGGTTTATCCTGATACGAACACACTCACCCCCACATCCATATGACCAAGGGCGTCCACTGGCGCTATCTATATACTACGGATATACATTGTAATATTAGAGTATATATATATATATTGACATCGGATTTCAGCACACCACCTCGCGGATGCAAGGAAAGTGGCGCAATAGTGTATCTGTATACGTGGTGGTTATCCATTCTGTTTCGTCTAATTTTTTGTGGATTGCTGTTGGTCAAGGAAGGGTTGAGTGCTGGTTAATGTTGAATTTGGCGTTTGTGGTGCGTTCGAAGGTTTTGTATGGTTGACAGAAGAACTCAGATATTTGTTTTTGAACGTTTTACCAATAATTATGATATAAAGTATACATATTTTTGAGATTCGTCTGAAAATCTAGCTCAATTAATATGTAAATAAACAAAATTGTTGCCTTTGGAACGAAGAGAAAGCTGAATCATGAACAATCACAAGCAGGATTATAAAAATTTTTCGAAAACCCGAAATCGAATCGAGTGTCGATTTAAACTGAGCGAACACACTGATTAGGTTAATTTTTTTCCTATTTTGGTAGAACTTGTTGAGGGAAGTTTGGTCTCCATATGTCTCGGTAATGTCTGTTTGGAAACTGCTTGTTAAGCGAACATTTATTAAAGCAGTCGCTTAAAATTGCGTGTTTCCAATAACTTTATGGCTACGAAATCAAAGAAACTAGAAAAACAGACGTGGTTTGCGGAGTCCACTTTACAAAGAACACAAGTATTTGAGTGGGAAAAAGCATTTAGTGAAGGTCGCGAAGTCATTGAAAACTTGCCATATGCGAGTTTTTCATCCACACCTCTGTTAATAACGATAATATTGAAGAAGTTCGAAAAACAATGCTTGAAAATTGTCATGTTGGCGTCGGAGAAATAGCTGAGGATCTCACCATCTTTTGTTGATTTTGTGGGTATGAAAATCGCACCAAAAGACCTGAAACGATGTCGAATAGAAGTCGTGAAAGAGATGTTTGACAACGTAGCTGAGGACCTTATATTCATCAATCGAAACACTACTGCAGACAAGATGTAAGTTTATGAATATGACGTCTAAACTATCCAACAATTTATCGCACTGCATTCAAAAAATTAGCCGAAACCGAAATAAAAAATTTGCTGACGACACTGAAGGCCCTCTCATTCGAGGCTTATAACAAGTGTACTGAAAATGTATTTGTATATGGAAGCCGATAATATGTGTACGAAAATTCATGAAAACGTAATCCATAATTTCAGAATGATCTGGGCATCAGTTTCTAGATCACCTCGGGGGGTTTTATAAGAATAGAACGGCCTTGAAACCATTAGTTAGTTGTCGCATATTTTCGTAGAATTTTTGGGTATTACCCCGGCTTGTCAAGCTCTTCGTACTAACGTATTTCCGGCCCTCTTTCTTTTTTGTCTGCAAATGCGTCTCGTTCCCTCTCCAACTCTCGGTATCTATCTCATTCCGCACGTGTTGTGGTCGATTGCAACGTTGCGAGGAAGGCCGTTTGTTTTCTCTCCGCTGCGACACGCCACTCCTCATCGCACCACCGCTTCTTTTGCATTTTCGGAAAATAAATAGTTTCGGTTGCAGCTGTACGTAAGGGCGTTGAAAACCGTCCCACATTTACCTTATATCGAGTTGTTGACGAGTGCTCTCAGAGAGCAGGAGTGCAAGTCGAGTAGAAAATCGTTCGGCTGTCTGTTGTGATTGTAGCTTTTCGACGTCGATCCTTCCTAGTGTTTGTTGCCGTGCGTTTTTTGCTGCTAAAAGGGTGGTATCTTCGCTGTAACAAGGTATTGGTCCGAGTCTAAGCTAGGACCTCGGAGCGTACGCGCGTCTAAAACAAAGAAGACGTGTCTTTCGTCTATCACAACATAATCGATCTGGTTGGTGGTTTTTGGAATCGGAGAGAGCGAGATAGCTTTATCAAGGGTTCCGCGAAGTCGATCAGCCTCAACTCATTTGAGAATGTTTCATCCTGGACGCTAACTTTACCGACTGTTATGCCAAAGATATCCACTCTGGTGTTAAAGTCGTCAAGCACGATTTTGATATGGTGGTGGGGGCAGCTCCCAGAAGTACGCTCCAAATACTCATACAAGACATTTTTGGTCACATTGTCCTTCTATTTCGTCGGAAAGTGGGCGCAAATTAGCGATAAGTTGCAGAACTTCGCTTTGATGCGGATTGTGGCTAAACATTTACCCGCGAATCAAACACCGAATTTGCGCTCCTTTAAATGATTACTGTAGTAAATGCCAAAGGGAGTTATTTGTCTCAGTCCTTGTCTTGTTCATCGCACTTCATGGAGGGCGGTGGACATCAACCAACTAGGCAGCGGCACCTTCCCAATTACGAGCCCGATAATGCATTGCTTAATACGTTGGCAGTGGTCGTCATCAAAGGGGAGGTTTCTCTTTCGAAGCTGTTATGTCTTTTTAAGTGAGCTGCTTGACACATATATTATATAAAATAATTGTTTCTCGCCACTTGGCTTTCTCCTCCAGCACATCTGTACTTTGGCACATTATTTTACTCGCAATTTTCTTTATTATTTTAAATTGAAACACAGTTAGATAAAATATCATATGCACGTTTATTCATCTCAAAGTTCAAATATTAATTTATTTGTAGACTTTTAACAGTTTATCTTAGTGTCTGGTCTAAAAATTAGGTATTTTTATTTTGCCATTTTCAAAACTGTCTGCCTAACCGTATGTAACTATTTCACTTCTCAGATAATTCCCAATTAACTGTACGCTTACACTACTTACACGCTAACAGCAAATTTTGATTTTGGGGTTGCCACCTAGGATATGAGTTATATGTTTTAAAAAGTGTTAAATGTTTATTCCAATTGGTTATATGCTCTAAACTAAGACCATTCTAAAAACATATTATAAATTTTTCTATATTTTTTGTAAGTTTGTGTTTATATTTTTCGGACCTTGAACGTATTTTTCCTTCATATCCGATTTTTATATTGAACAAATGTTATTGTTGCTTTAAATGTGTCCGATTTTTTCCAATACAGTGTTGATTCTGAGTCAGTGTTCTTAGTTTGTTTCGACACAATTTCAAATTTTTCGTTCTGGATTGGCCAATATTTGGAGATCTTGCATTTTTCTAAGGGATTATATACAGTTAATATTCTAAAAAAAAATGGATTTTTTATTTTATTTTCTTAATATATGTACATATATTTGAGAATATGCACAGAAAACTTCATTTTGTTCCGGTGAACATTTTCGAAGTTACACGCTAATTCGGAAAGGCGTTTGCTTCGAAGTACTAGACCAAACTTTAAAGACGTTTTCCTAAAAATGGTGCTTTCAAAGTCAATGATCAATATTACTCAAAAACAGCTAAACTGATTAATCTCACATTTTAATACGAGCTTTTAAATTATATTTTTAGTAGTTAATCGAAGATTTTTTTTAACTATAAACAATGTAAGGCCGAAGTGTTCAAAAATTGTTTTTCATTTTAGAAAACGCCATTTTGTCAAAAAATACTATTTTGCTTATTCCTTTTATTAATTACTAGATTTAGCATTACTTTAATGATATCTCTTTCTTTTAATTTCAGAGGATCTTGTTCAGAGATATAGTGATCATTGCAAAACGCCTTTATTGAATGGAGCTCCTGGAGATCAGTTGTAGTTCCTTTTCAAATAAATATTTTAACTAATACTAAGCCTTAAAGTACAGTTAAAAGATAGCTCAATATGTGTACATATTTTTGGATAAATAACTTTAAGAGTTGCCCCAGAAAAAATTCTGTAAAACTCGCTATCTTAGGCTTTCTAACTGTATTTAACCCCTTAGGTGACATATCGAGACTTTTGTAAAGAAAGTAAAAAATCTAAAGCGATTATTGTTAATCAATTTGAAATAAATTTGAAAAATCAAAATCATTATTTTCGGTTCCTATTTCAAGCTTCCCACTAAATTTATGTAAGTATTAGTATTCGTAATTAAATTTTGTTTTCTAAGTTTTCGACCTTGTGTTTCCTAAAACATTGGACTTCCTAATTCGTTCCTAACTTAAACTAAACGTTGGTAAGAATTTGTGTTGTCGGTATGTATGTAAGTAATTTTTTATTTCGTTATAGCGAAGGGTCACATTTAGTACTAAGCCCAACTTTTCATTGACTATGTTAGGTTTTGTTTGAACTTTTATAAGATTCGCAAACACATCCATCGAAGTGGCAATGAAATCGTGCTTTTCTGTTATTACATTTTTTTTAATTTTATTTTTTTTTTTTAATTTTTTTTTTTTAATTTTAAAGGGCTCGTTCTGACAATTTAGGTTGGTGTTGTTGCTCTAATTTGCTTTAGTTAATTTGGCGTTCATCTACACAATTGTTTTAATTCTAATTCATTTGAGGACACATTTGGTTAATTTTTGGTGACATTTCTTTGATTCATTTTACTTTTACATAATTTTGATTGGACTCTCTCACATTGGGTTTTTTGCGCAGTTTTTTGTGCATTTTGTTGTGCCATGGCTTTTGGTTACGTGGTAGACTTCGAATTTTCAGGTGTCATAATTTACTTGTACACTACACACTAACTAGGGTTCCTCCTATTTGGCGTGAAGTGTCAGCAGGTGCTATCATTCCAGAATGTAGAACAGCCAGTAGCCCAGATTAAAGGCTAAAAAGCTGACTGGGAACACCATGCGTGAATATTTGTCGATAATGTTAACATCTTTGATTTTCGGTATAGTTGCTTTGAGGGCCGAAGCGCCTCGTTTCAGCGCATGCAGCATGCGTGGTTTGCCTGCAATATACAAAGTTATCGGTATTAAACAAATTATTGATATATAAAGTCAGACAAATGATATATTCTAGATGTTCCAGTGAAACGTTTAAAAATTCCGGGTATGGATTGTCTTGCTTAATTATATTACATACTTCTTAAAAACATAACAAAAAAAACAAGTAAGGAACGGCTAAGTTCGGGTGTCACCGAACATTTTATACTCTCGTATGATAAAGTGATAATCGAGATTTCATTATCCGTCATTTACATATTTTTTTATTTTGCTGTAAAATTAATTAGATTAGATACTCAAAGTAATTGAATTGTATTTTCATTTATTTTAACTGTATTGATTTACCGATATTTTCGGTGAAAAATTAGGTTAGGTTAGGCTATTCACTGAGTTGTTCGTGTTCGATATCAGGGACCTTGAAAAGTTATAGTCCGATCACGACAATTTTTCCACAAGGGATATCTCAGCTCAAATACCGTATTTCTGTAAAGTTTTATTCCACTATCATCAATGTATATATTCTACATAGAAGGCATCAGATGGAATTCAAAATATCGTTATATTGGAAGAAAGCGTGGTTGTGAACCGATTTCACCCATATTTTGTACATGTTATCAGGGTGTTAAGAAATATTATATACTAAATTTCATCGAAATCGGTTGAGTAGATCCTGAGATATGATTTATGGTCCATTAGTGGGCGACGCCACGAACGTTTTCAATTATTAAAATAAGCCTAGGTGCAGCTTCTCTCTGCCATTCCTTCCGTAAATTTTAGTGTTTCCGATGTTTTTTGTTAGTCGGTTAACGCACTTTTAGTGATTTTCAACATAACCTTTGTATGGGAGGTGGGCGTGGTTATTATCCGATTTCTCCCATTTTTGAGCTGTATATGGAAATGTCTAAAAGAAACGACTCTATACAGTTTGGTTGACATAGCTATGATAGTTTCCGAGATATGTACAAAAAACTTAGTAGGGGGTGAGGCCACGCCTACTTATCCAAAAAAATTACGTCCAAACATGCCACTCCCTAATGCGATCCCTTGTGCCAAATTTCACTTTTATATCTTTATTTATGGCTTAGTTATGACACTTTATAGGTTTCCGTTTTCGGATTTCGGTTTTCGCCATTTTGTGGGCATGGCAGTGGGCCGATTTTGCCCATCTTCGAACTTAACTTTTTTATGAAGCCAAGAAATACGTGTAACAAGTTTCATCATGATATCTCAATTTTTACTCAAGTTACCGCTTGCACGGACGGACGGACAGACAGACAAACGCACGGACGGACAGACAGACATCCGTATTTCAACTCTACTCGTCACCCTGATCATTTTGGTATACATAACCCTATATCTGACTCTTTTAGTTTTAGGACTTACAAACAACCATATAAAAAAGTAGGTTTTTAAGAAAGTTGAGTTGTGCTCAATTTGTAATGGAGATAAGCCTGCCATTTTCCCCCTCACCCACCTTTTTGGCCTCTATAACGCAAATGTGTACGATTTGTGCCATAATTGCGCGTAATTCTAAAGCTCGGTGGAAACTTTGCCAGGTCCACAGTTTCGGTGCCTATGGAGCCGAGCGTGCTATTGTAGTTGCCTTTACGCAATGAGGGTATAGGACTCATGCGCACATCCTGCAATTCGATGATGTCATCGGCCGTTGAACACGTTTCGGATTTATCGCCCTTGCCTGTAAGTGAGACGACTGCATTAATTCGGCCTTGAGATGACGAGTGTAATTCACTTTCACTTACCTGTTTTTCTGCCTTCACCATCTTTGGACTTTTTCACTTTTTTCTTGGCGCGCTTACCCCAATACGTGTAATTGACAGCTGCGTACTCAAGCAGTGCAGCGAAAACGAACACGAAGCACATCACCAAATAAATGTCAATGGCTTTGACATAAGATATCCTTGGCAAGGAACTGCGCACACCGGTGCTTATTGTAGTCATAGTGAGCACGGTGGTTATCCCTGCGTGAGAGTGAGAGTCAAAGTTTAGATTTGTGATTTCTTCAGTTGTATTTAAGTCAAGCGCTTACCTAAAGCGACGCGCGCACTTGTCGCCTCATGGTTGATCCAGAAGGACACCCACGAGAGCATCACAATCAATATGCTTGGCAGATATGTTTGAAATACAAAATAACCAATATTCCGTTGCAATTTGAAAGAGAGCGACAAGCGCTGATATATACCAGTGGCTAAACGCTCTTTACGATCATTCGTACCGTAACCGATTATGGTGAACTGTGGCAGCTCGGCATCCATGACACCGCGCACCGGTGTGGGCTTCCAGTACATCACCACATCGCTGACAGTGTAGCCATCTGTAAATAGCCGTAACCAAGCAAACAACGCAAGACAAACACAAGCCACAACGAAAGCAACAAACAAAATTTTCTCACTAAAAATCTACGAAAATTCCAAGCACTCTGCGTCGTTTACTTACAACTCTCAATTTCTACTGTACAGTTTTGTGAATCCAACGGATAGTAGTGCAAATCCATCATGCAGGCGAGTGTTGTTGTGAAGCGCATGCCATAGGTGACAGCGCCGTCGCCACCCAAGCGCACCAGTTTGTTGCGCTCGGTGACGTCATGTAAGAAACTGTCAAATGTCAAGTTAAATTTACCGTTAGTTATGAAATGTTATGAATTTGGCTAAGTTCTACACACTCACCTATTTTTGTCGTTCGCAAAAAAGGTGTCGGGTACCCAAATTTTCTCTGCGAAGTCGCCAGAGAGTGTCAGCACATCATTGACGCCATCGTCGTCTGCATCATCGTCATAGTATGGTCCGTATGCGTTGAAGGCTAGCCGCTCATCTCGCCAGTACTGGTTTAAATACATGGTGATGGTGTAGTCCTTTCAGTGAAGACAGAAACTTATTACTAAGATTTCGAATGCTATTTGTTGTTTTTATAAATATTGATTGAGTATTTGGAATAAAAATAGAAATATTTGGAACTTGAAGATTTGTCTTTCGATAAAAATTGGAGATTCCAAGTGCAGCCAGGTCCGTCTGTATCTGATCTTTCTAACGGATTGGAGGTTTTCCTCTTCCTCTGCTTCCCCCGACGTGTAATCATCAGATGATGTCATCGTCTAAGTCTCTGCACCATATAGCACGACGGGGATGATGAGTAACTTGTAGAGTTTGGTCTTTGTCCGTCGACAGAGGGTTTTACTTCTCAATCGCCTACTCAGTTCGAAGTAACACCTTTTGGCAAGAGTTATAAGTCTTAGTGCTGGTTCCAAGATAGACGAAATTATCTACGGTTTCGAAGTCACAGTGACATGACATGACACTATTCAAGTGTAGATTGAAGAGGTCGCACGATAGGGAGTCAGCGATATAAAATTTTTTGAGCAATGGGCGCCAATAAAAATATCACAATACAATATCTAGTGCTATTGGGTCAAAAATGTTTTGAGCCTCTATTATTTTTTGTGTGGTATTTTACGGAACATTTACTAAAATTTGAACTCAATGGAAATGAAATCTCGACTTTTTTTTCGACTATTGGTCCGTAGCTAAGAAACCAGGTTTGTTAAATTTAAGCCACTACTGCGTGGTTTTTGCCTTGTATACTGTGGAGAGTATTGTTTAGAAAATTTACAGTTTAAGTTTTCATCTCTGGCTTTTCATGACCGCTTTCATAACCGCATTCCACTGAAGAAGCTGCTTGCATTTGTTGCAGCATTGTAAGAAGGCAGGCTTTCATGTGAAGATCTTCTCCAAAGATTGACATATAAATTTTCTTTGACATAACTCTCTGTTTTCTAAGTTTTTATGGTAGAATTTATTTGTAGGGCTTCAGAAATACAAGAACACTGCACTACGGTTGTATCCGATCGAACATTAACACACAGTCGCCTGTTTGAAACGTAACCGCCTCCTAGGAAGATGAAGAGGTATTTCCTTAAATGCGTCGACGACTTAGACAATGCGCTGAACAGACTTTTGACGCAACTAAGTTCAGACATGCACTCACCGCCATTTACAGTGGAACCACTAACACCTTCACCGAATCCCTCTCAGTGAATGGCGTACTTGGAATCAAAGCACCACCCAGATGACAAGTTCGAGAATCGAGAGTGTCCCTTGCACATGGAGCTTCATTCTTCATTCTGAATACTATAGCAGGTTAAACTTCTACTTATCCAGAATCAGCCCCGATATACCAAATATATGTCCAGCATGCAACGAGTGCCTTCATGACTTTAAAAGATCATAAAAAAAAACTGACACATACGTACGCCAAACCCTTTGAGGGTTTTACTATACTGACCTAGTACCATCACCCTGACTTGGATTTCCCACCCCCCCGATTAGCCGTTGTACTGTGTTACATGTTAGACAAACTAATCCGTGAATAGACGAGCCTGCAACCAATTGAGAGTATATGATTTGTGGTTTATCATTTGTCGTGTAAAATATGTATCACAATACTTTAATCGATATGCGTGTACAATTGGTCTCTTACTCACTATAGGAAGTATTAACGTCTTTTCGGTTCAAATAGTTTCGATTAAGACCACAATTCTTCTAAATACTAAAGAGCATATAGTCTGTTATTAGGCCTAGTAATCACTAGGTGACAGGGCCGGACTATTGGGTGGATGCCCCCTCAATTAAGCTCCTGGACCTTTAACGATACGCGTAGAGTAGATTTTTTTCGCTGGAACAAAATTCCTTTCACATTAGTTAAAGCTGAGCGTTTCTGAGCGACTGCTTTCATTAAGAGGTTCAATTGTGGACAATACTGGAATTGGCTTCAGATGACAAGGTCTTTGCCAACTCTATATAGCAAACAGCCTAAGCTAGACCGTGTCAAATATAGCAATTTTCGTAGCCACTCAATGCCAACTCAGGCGATTAGAGACTTAATTTTTTCACAAGCTGACAATAAATTCGAACTATGACTAAAGCGTCATTTTGTGGTCACAAAAACTGCGCGACTTTTTTGATTGGACATTTCATAGTCAGAATTATATTTAACCGAGATTTGAAAGATCACTGCGAACCAAACAGGTACATTAAAACTTTTTTAGACATTGCAATTTCCAACACTTTAAGGTGGATGGAGGATTCCTTTAGGGAAGACCTTTGCCATTACTTTCTTGCCTTGTCATTAGGTGTGAGCTATATGTTTCCTTATGGTCTGTATGACAACTTTAGTTGCAATTTTAACTCCTGATTGCATAAGTAATTAATTACGAGGCCAAATGTGACGTAGCCGGAATTGTGACTATGTACATTTTCGTGCAAATGATTAATAAATGAGCCGACTTAATCGGCCTTTTGCCGATAAAAAGTCCCTTCTGATTGCTTAGCGTACCAGAGGCAATATATTTTGCTCATAAGAGATCTTACCATGTTCACTTCTGATATGGCATCAAAGCTGGCTATTGTGAGATCCATACCCACGTGCAATGGCTCACCTGAAATTAGTTGAAATTCAATACTTATTCTTTATACTTTTTTAAAAAAGCTCACCGCCGAAATTCGGACGCAGTCGTATGTCGTAACCTTGGAGAATTTTCGAAATAGTTTGTGTGACATTCTCCAAACGACCGGCGGCCATTTCTTTTCGCTTACATCTGCAATGGAGATTTTAGTTATAATTTTTTGAATAAATTAATGAGTATTAAAAAGCGAAAAGATAGAGAACTTAGCGTGCGATGAAAATATGCATTTTTAAAATAATCTTTTTGCAGTTTGCGTCACCAAAGCTGATAAGAGAGTCTTAAGCCCATTATACCATCTAGGTAAGGGTTGCCTTGCACTCAATGTAAAGAGGGTACATACAAGTATGTATGTATGTATGTGTGTATGCATGTGACAGCGGAATTCAACGATATCGAAGCATTTAGCCACGAAATTTGTATATGTGTGAAAGGGAAGGGACAGTGGGTCGCGAAAAACTGTGCAAATTCCTGAGCTTATATCGAGTGTGTGTATGTGGATATGGTTGTATGTATATGGATGAAGTCGCACTTACCTCGCGCTGGGAATATGCGTCAATGTGAGTATGACTAAAAGTAGCAACGTGCAACTGTCCATCCACCGATGGCTTATCGCGGCACTACCACTCCCACTTTCACTGCCGCTGCTGCTGCTTCTGCTGCTGCTGTTACTTCCCTCAAGCGCTTTTCGTTTGCCTCGACTGCTACTTCCTTTTGTTTTGCACAACATTATCGTGTTTTTGTTGTTGTGCTGCGCTGTGATATGGCTGAGTTGGCGGTCATACGTGATAATATCCCGTGGCTGGCCGTTATGAACGATATTGTTGTAGTTGTTGTATGTGTATGTATATATATATATATATCTATAGAACTCGTTAGCTTATTGGACATATGTCATGGGAGGAGCGCGTTGAAGTGTACTTGTTGTTGTTGCATTTTGCGCTCGTCGTTACAATGCGTTTGGTGCTGTTGTTGCTGGTGATATTCTAGTGCATTATTTCGTGCGAAGCTGCTTCACTGCCGACCCTGTGCAATGTGTGATAGTTGGAAAAGTTTCTTTATAAGTAAATTCCAGATAATTCTAATTACACTATTCAAAAAATCAGAAGGAAAATTTGCGACTGATGTGCCAGGAGCTCCGTGGAGTGTTTATGGTGTTCTGATTACGAATTTGAGTTAAAAAAACTTCCATCACCGGCAGCTATATTTTTCATTATAGTAAATGGTGGTGGTTTGGCCTCTACACCCTTCGAGTGGGAAATTTGCACTATCATATTCGGTTTAAGGAACCCAAACCTAGCAAGTAGCAGTCGCAAACACCACAGGACTTGACACCTACCTGATTTTGATATTTCTGTGTACAAACAAAGAATGGCTACACTAAAACATTATCTACTTTGGTTAAAGCAACTCAAAAGGAATATGGCTTCACTAAATAAGTGATGGGTTAGGTTACGTTAGGTTAGGTAATTTGGCTGAACCCCAAGTTGCAAGCGGAGTTGGCTCGCCTGAAGCTCGTATAGCTTGGTTGGAACTTGGACTGTTATGTTAACTCCTCTCTGAAACCAAACAAAAATTTAAGTCCTGATAGTTGCCCAACATTCACTGTTACCACTCCATTCTGACCGGGTGTCGGTTGCCAGTGATTTCGTTATGGCGGCTGCCCAAAAGCCTTACGTAGAAGTAACCCAATATCATGTTAGGTATTCCTAAATCAGTCCCCTGCGCCACGGTTAATCAGTTCGAGGCTAGTATTGTTGCTTAAACTTTTTAGTAGACAGTTACTTTCCTTCGCTTCGCTTTGGAGCAGTAGATCAAATTCTTTGGCTTGAGATAATAGTCAAAAAGCTTGTAACTAGTATTGATGGACTCCGTTCACTACCCTTTTCCCAAGCCTTGATCCATTCGGAGCTTATCTCTCACCTCTAGTGACTTTTTTACTAAAAATAAAATATCCCGTGAGCGTAATTCGGCGCTTCTAACCTGAACAAAATCTAATCTACATACACGCGCATTCTATTATTTTCATTACTTCTTTGTTGGCATAGACAACGCCTACGCGGTTATAGCTGAGTTTACTAAAACGCGCCAGTCGTTCCTCCTTTTGGCTGTTTGACACTATTCTGATCGTATAATATGAATGCTCTAACTTTCCATGAAATTTGTCTAAAGCCACACCACCATTTATGTAGATCGGACCACTATAACGTATAGCGATGCAGACCTGACTGTAGTATGGACATATCTTTTGATTTGAAATAATCCTTGTTTGATTAGATAATTTCTGCAACTGTATAAACGAATACGCTTCAAGACAATTAAACAAAAAAAAAAATATTGATAATGAAGTGAACCAAATTGCTTTCACCACATCGATCAAGCAATTGAAGCATTTGTTCTACGATCGATGGCGTCAAAATTTAGTGAAACGCTGTTCACTTCATCCAAGTTTACCAAAATGTTCAACGGAATTGTTGGGGAAGTGTAAAATTATTTCAGATTAGAACGTATAAATGAGTGATGACCGGTATTCAGAGATTTTTTTTTTTAACTTTGATGGGTTAATTCCGATGCATCGATGTTTTTATTCCATGTGTTTATTAATACAAAAAGCGGAAAGAAAACTTGTTGGAACGACTGCAAAGGTCGGCTTGAAAATTTAACAAACATATTTGTGAACGTTGGGATTTCTCTGGGATGATCGCTAACAAAAAATGTAAAACAATGAAAATGAAAAATATAAATTAATTTGATTTAATGTTTTGCAAAGTAACATTAATTTTCAACTAAAAATGGTTAAAAACATTTGTTAATTTAGAGCATAAAAATGATTTAAGAGGCTTAGTTCACTTTACTAAGTATTGAAAGTTCAAAGGTCAGTTGTTTTAGTATACCATAAAAGCATAAAAAGGATTTAAATAGTTTCTCCATACATTGAGTAGTCGAAAAAGTATTTTCGTGTTTTCTCAATAGATGTTGTTGCAGTCGTATATGTCCAGTGCTATCAATAAAATTGTGCGATACCATACGGCGTTGAAAAAGTGAGATTTCATGCTTCCTTTGACAAAAAAAAAAGGTCGCTATATTTTGAAATTTCCGTATAAAAAAGGAATGAATGCCACGCAAGCCACCAATGAAATTTGCGAAGTTTACGGAAACGTTCATGTAGCAGAACAATGGTTCACTCGCTTCCGTTCTGGAAATTTCGGAATTTCGTTTTACGCTGATGTATGTCAATGTATCTAGCGGAAAAAGGGAAAAAGTGAAAGCCGATATACTATAGTACCCTTTGTGAAAAATGGAGTGTGCTTAAAGCCGCAAGAGCAAATAGCCTGCCAGAATTGGGGACCTGCTAATGTCCTTGAGATCATTTGTAAATTATTTCTCTGTTTCACACTTTGAATCATACTAGTACTGGTTTAAGCTTTTCTCGCCAAATCGCATACAGACATTGTGACAAACACCTTTGCTTCAAGATTTTACTCACAAGGGCCACATTTTGATAAATCTTTAAGAGAACAGCTTTCACTGAAATTTATTTTAATATTTTCCACATGACTTGCACTGAACTTCAACCGTTTTGACCAACAGGTACTTTATGAGAATTATTTTATTGAAAGTGTGCAGTTTCTTTTCGGTACAGCCCTTATATACCTACCCGCTGGTGTTTAACCTTTTATATGCTAGAAAGAGTTATGGACTATTATTACGTTCTTTGCGTCCATAAACACAATTGTAATAAACACCTGACTGCTCCAGCAATGCATACTGCATATGAGTTAAGTACAGTTGGTGACATTATTTCCCTTCTCCGTCCATTAGAAGCAGCCAAAAAGTAAAATTATTTCTTTAATTAATTTTCTCAACTGAAAAATACAAGCAAAGCTCTTTGATAATGCTCTAGCCAAATATATGAAAAAAAAAATTGTTGAAAGATATTAATAAAAGACTGAATGCTGTAAAAGGTGTGGTTCCAATGGACATAGCTTTTTATATACATATGTCAATGCGCTTAGAAAGATCAGGGAAATTATGAGGATTAGTGCTATAGCAGAAGCCGATGGTATGAACATGTACGCTTCAGATAGTTCTGATAAAACTGAAAACTCGTTTAATATTTCGACTGATCATCATAATACTGGCGCGCTATTGTTAACTCTCCGAGTATCTATAATCGCGTAAGCGGTATCTACGCCAATTAAGAATAAGAAGATCATCATAAGTCCGAAAAAAAAAAATTGGAGTTAAACAAACTCAGTGGAAGGCTAGCGTAAAATCCTTCGAAAATTGTAACGATTGGGAAACACAATTTCCTAAATGATATAAAATAGCTTTCGAATAAATAACAATTGTTGCTACATTAGTTTCATTTTAACGTCTTTTTCCAAAAGCCAGTCTGGTGGTGAGCAAACGAAAAAGTATAATAGAATAATGAATAGAGTATAATGAATAAAATTCAGTTTTTGCAAAGCCAAGAAGAATAATTATGGTAACACTTAACTAACATTAATACAGAATTAGATTTTTTTTTGTATTCGATTATTTTTGTAGTATTCAACAACTGAATAGCTCAGTTTTTTTATTATTTTAATGTCTCCATAGGCACCAGATATGGCTGCGTCTCGATTACATCACAACTGAATCGTAGCCTTTGTTTTAATATTGTGATAATGTAATGTAATAATGTAATGTTCTATCAAGGTAAAGAACTATTCCCTAGACTCTCATTTTTTATTGCGTAAACCTAAAAGCGCAATTTCGAAAATATTTTTTATTTCAAGATTGAAATTGTATTTGCATACGTTTACAGACATACCCGAGCATGTGTGAGTAAAATGTTCTTCTACTATGAGATCTATACATTATTTTCTATAAAACCACGGATAAATACATCAAATTATTACATTTATCTGCAACAATTATGTCACCATTCTAAAATGGGCATTTTCGCAATGTAATTAGCATATTAAAGTCTGTATATTCCACACACACACACACACAGTTAACAAGCAACCACAAACAGCCATTAATACTAAAATGCCATTGAATTTGCATGCTTGTAAGTGTTCATCATACGCCTTGTCGTCCAATGCTAAAAGCAATGCCAATATGTTACTCATACGCCATGTGCACCGTCCAGCTGAAAGAAGCAATGAAAGCAGCTGCTGAGTGCGATCTCAGTCTACTTCCCGTGCATTTTTGCCATTTCCATGGCATGTTTGAAATTATGTTTATCACTGTTATTCTGTTTGCCATTTTTATTGTGCATTTGATAGTGTGCACAAGTACCTTTTGTACCGTTATATTTACATAGTTTTCGTCGTTGAACAAAAGTTTATTCAACTTGTTCATTTAATGCGCTGCCACATCACAAAAGACAGCACAGAAAACGGTAGCGTAAAGTGCAAAAACAACAAGTAGGCCATAGAAAAGCAAAGAAAGAGAACAGGAAAAGAAGAAAAACGGATGAGAGCAACTGAGTAGGGGAAGGCGTCTGCCAGCTGGGGGTGAGAGTGAATGCAGGGACGAGCATGAAGGCGACGCATTGTGCCACTAAAATGCATTTTCGCTTAGTTTTGTTGTTGTTGTTTTTGTCCTTTTCGTTGTTGTTGTAGTTGCTGTTGATGGCTTTTCACAATTTCAATTAGGAAGAACCTTCAGTAAAGTGCATAATTGCGTTAAACACTGACAACCCCACCACCGTACCACCGCGCCCGCCTACTCCGCCGCAGACCTCATCGGCCTGATCCGTTGGCGTCTAAGCCGAACGCATTCAGCGTGATTTTCGTAACATTTTTGCAAAAGTCTTGCAGTTTGTCATCTTCAAGTTTTCAAGTGTACATAGTTACACACCCACACACACGTATATATTATATACATGCGAATAGAGGCACGCAGCCATATGCGGCTTGGAGCTCTGCTATTAAGCCCTTTCTAGTTCGTAGTTTCGTGTGCTTTGCAGTTAGTTGTCAGCTGTCAAGCGCACAAGTGCACGCTTACGCAATTACGACTGCTGGCTACCCGAG